AAGGTAAAATGAACCAGTAGATGGAGTGACAGTTTGTACCTCGGGATGTTTCCCATGCACTGAAGCATGGACGTGTGCCAAGCTGCTGCAGCACGTGGAGATGTTCGATGTTAGAGCTGTCGGCTGTTGTGACAGGATGGAAGTCAAAAGTGGGATGTGTGTTTCCAGGTGGTTCAGATAATGCGGCGAGGCAGAGAGACCTTACTGACGCTGCTGGAGGCCTTCGTGTACGACCCTCTGGTGGACTGGACTGCGGGGGGAGAGGTGGGATTTGCTGGCGCGGTGTACGGAGGGGGAGGCCAACAGGCTGACAGCAAAAAGAGCAAGCGGGACATGGAGAGAGACATCACGCGCTCTCTCTTCTCCTCCAGGGTGGCTGAGATCAAGGTGAGTTCACAGATGTCAGATAATCAAACAGCGCCTTTTCAGCAAATCCAGTCGGTTTTGTGCTGGTGTCTCAGGTTGCCATGGTTGCAGCCGTTTCTTTAATTGCAGTCGTCAGTGTTGCTTCACTTTGTCTGGCAGTGAGAACAATAAACAGGGGAGGAAGTTAAATAACGACTGCGTTACAGTTTAAAGGAGAATATTAGTGATATCAAAGCTTTTATCTGTCAGTCCAGGTTAATCCACAGCTGACTGGAACTACAGTTATTTCTCTTACAGCTCACGTTGTCTAAACAGGCAGGAGGAGGGTTGGCTTTGTTTTAACAACCCTGCAAGCTGTAGAGTGAATCCTTCCTGTATTTCATATTTTTAATGTGTTATTGATATGCTGTGTGGGCCTCGTGCAGGTGAACTGGTTTAAGAATCGTGATGAAATGCTAGCGGTCCTACCACAAGTAGAAGAAGCTGTGGAGGAGTACTTGGTGCTGCAGGAGCTTCTCTGCCAAGGAGAGAAACGCCAAGCGAAACTACAAGAGGAGAGCGCCTTCTTAGAGGGGGCGGAGAACCACCCTGACCACGACATCTTCACCCTGGAGCAAAGGTCAGACACAGACACTGTTCATGTTCTTTCACATGACAACAGGTGCACTTAAGGAAAGACTGAAAGGTCCGTCCAGTGGATTCATGGAAGTTTGTAACATGTTTGGATGTTTGATCGTCTTTTAAACAGTCACTACAGACGACAAAATAAGGAAATGTGGCTTTTAAATGATTAATTGATAAAGTTAGGTGATGTTGTTGCTTGGAAACATTGTGGTCACACTTATAGCATAAGATGAGCTTTATTACCCCTGAAGGAAGGAAACGAATGTGTTACAGCAGCCAGAACATGAAGAACAATGTAACTAAAATAAATAGATACAGTATCAAACGTAAGGTCAGATCACACGCTCGTGTGCAGCAGACACACAGCCTGCACACACACACTCTTCGCTCACTTCAACAGTTACCACACATGTTAATGAGACCACTCTGAGGGGTGTTCTCCTGGTGCAGGCGGGATGGTTGGATCAGGAAGCAGATCTGTAACAGACCAGCTCGGTGAACACCAATCAGCTGAATGTTTGGAGGCGGAGCCCAAAGGAGGACGGGGTCGTAAAGCGATTGGTCGCTTTGAATAGATGATCATAGTTATATAAACACTTATGCTGTGGCAACAACAGAAAAACTATTTTAAACTTGCAGAGTGAATCATCAGCAGTTTGCTGTGTAGCAGTGGAGATGCTGACAGCTGTCACTGGATTATTTCCTGCTGAGGAAACATTTGAAACTGGAGATTTCTGAAGCCTCTCACTGCTCCGACCATCCAAACTCAGCTGGTCCGTGTGAGCAGGATTTCTGTCCGAGAAACGGAGAGCTGGTGGCGAGAATGTGAAAGTGCAGCCGCGTGTGCGCACGCCTGCCGAGTGCTACATGCAGGAAATTTAATAGCACCCCTGGAACGGACGACATCAGGAAGATAACAGAAATACTGTGTCCACAAACATCATCGCCACATCCTGAACTCTTACTCACCTTCCTGCTCACAGGTACTCTGAACATACCCAGCTGCAGTCACGACAGCGCACCGTGCAGGAGGCCATTCA